TGCTTTCTGTCTCAGTGGACTTGTCTTTTGGGACATTTCATTTAAATGGAATCATATGATGTATGGCCTTCCATGCCTGGCTTCTTTCCCTTAGAATAATGCTGGAGATGTTCATCCATGTTGTACCATGTATGTGGATTTGTAACCCTCTTGGGAGCTTCCTGGGTATGGTCTAAAAGTGGCCCCTGTCATCAGAGGGCAGGGAGAGACCCGAGAAAGCATCAGGCCACTCCAGGTTGGTAGGTGGCAGTTTTAATGACAGTGAAGGGAGCTTATCATCGCGTATTGTCTTGGGAGGCAGCAAGGTGCCTGGATCCCTGTACCTGCCTCCAAATCTCGAAGTTTACAAAGAGGCCCTACCTGTGCTCAGTCATGTATACACCATGCAGGTATTTGCAACAGCACATCACCACCTCAAGGCTATGCCCTTGGGGCAGCCTTTGGGAGTGGTAAAGGCATGTGGGGAGGCCACAGTCCACGGACTGGGGAGGGTGAGGAGCCTCTGAGTGCCCAGGTCCATCTTGCTGGTCAGTCAGCAGTCGTGTTTCTTTGGTGACGTCTCCCCCTACGTGGTCTGAATATTTCATTCTCTTTTATGGCCGAATAATACTCCATTGCACTGCTACACAGTATTTTGTTTGTCGGTTCATCAGTTGATGGATATTTGGGTGTTTCCACGTTTTGGCTATTATGAATAATGATGCCATAAACATGTATGAACCCATTTTTGCTTAAATATTTGTTTTTAATTCTCCTGGGTACATGCCTAGGAGTGGGACGGCGACACCAAACAATCCTCAGCTTTCTGTTCTCAGGTGCTGTCGAGCTGTCTTCTGAAGCAGCTGCACCAGTTTGGAGAGATGGAAATCTCTCCGCGGTGTCCTGAAGGCTCCAACTTCTCCACAGTCTCACCAAGACCTATTTTCCACTTTGTTGTTGCTATTGTTTTTTAAATACTGCCACCCTAGTGCGTACAAAGTGGTATCTCATTGTGGTTTTAATGTGCATTTTCCCCAGTGACTGATGATGTTGAGACTTTTTTCTTGTGCTTTTGGCCACTGTGTCTCTTTTCTGGAGAAATGGCTATTCAAATTCTGTGCCCATTTTTAAACTGGGTTATATTTTTGTTGTTGAGCTGTAAGAGTTCTTTATATATTATGGATACTCAACCCTTATCGGAGAAATGACTTGCAACTATTTTCTTCCCATTCCGTGGGTTGTCTTTTTGTTTTCTTAATAGTGTCCATTCCCTCACTAAACCTTTCACTTTTGAAGTCCAATTTACTTATGTTTTTGCTTTGGTTTCTTTTCTATTGCGCACTTTGACACACGTTTACTGAGCATCTACTGAATGAGTGAACGTGCCTCTGTGCAAGTTACTCATCCTTCCTGAGCGACACTTTCCCTACTGCTTTCGACGAAGGTGAGCTGTTATGATTTTTAAATTAAGGGTAATAGAAGAATGTTTGTAAGTGCTTGTGATCCTACAGACAGATCATAATGATACTTGCTAGGTATCCTTGCTAGGGAAAAGGAGTGAGCAGCAGGATAATGCATTTGTCCCGAAACTAGGATGTTCCCCACAATGTTCATGTCTGAAAGTGAGGAGCGAATGGTGCAGGTGAGCTGAAATGCCTAGCAAAGAGTCACAAGCTCTTCTTTTCTGCTCCCTTTGTTTTTCTATTACAGCAGCTGCGTATTCCCACTGGGGTGCTGAACTATCCAAGGTGCTGCAAAAGCAAATTCGCTTTGGGGCACCACCTGACTTTGTACTGAACATCATTTGGGGAACTGGAATAGGTACTTTGAATATGAAATCATGGTCTCTGAGTTAAGTAGAGATGCTTTACAAGTCTATTATAGGTCTATTAAGGGTTTTTGAGGGATTGCCCGAAGGAGGAAAGAGTAAGAGTCTCTTCTAAGAACACTACCCTTGGGGCACCTCGGTGGCTCAGCCGGTTGATTCCAACTGATTCCGACTTCAGCTCAGGTCATGATCTCCGGTCCGTGGGTTCAAGCCCCGCACCGGGCTCTGTGAAGACCGCTCAGAGCCTGGAGCCTGCTTCGGATTCTGTGTCTCTCTTTCTCTCTGTCCCTCCCCCACTTGTGCTCTGTCTGTCTTTAAAATAAACATTAAAAAAATTAATTTTTTTTTTTCAACATTTATTTATTTTTCGGACAGAGAGAGAGGGAGACACAGAATCGGAAACAGGCTCCAGTGCTCTGGAGAGCCGCCAGCCTCAGAGCTCGATCGCTGGGCTCAAATCACACGGACCCATGAGATCGTGACCTGGCTGAAGTCGGACGCTCAACCGACTGTGCCACCCAGGCGCCCCTTTTTTTTTTTTTTTAAATAAAGAATACTACCCTGGCTTTTCAGTGTATGGGAATTCTTGAGGTTCAACCATGAGGCAGCTAGGGCTGAATCCCATTCTAACTCACTTTACTCCTTGATGTTTTTGGATACCTCTCCCGGCCAAAGGTTTACTGTGAAGTTTCCTCCTGCTGATCTCTCTCTGCCCCCGGTGGGGGACACTCTTCTCCCAGATTTCAACGGCCGGATGCTAGCCATTCCCCAAGTCTAATCCCGACCGCGACCACCCCTTCAAGGAGCTCTCCTCAGTGCCCCTGGATGAAAGTCTCCCCTTTTCCTAATGCCCATGTCATCTGTTCCTTCCTGGGCCCACTGTGATGACGATGTCCCAACTTACTTCCTGTATCAGACAATTAACTCCTAAGGGTACAGTCTTGTTTCGTCTTTGTACCCCAGAACCTACAAAGCTCCTGGCCTTTGTCAGGAGATTAATAAATACCTCTGGAAAGGGAAACAGCCGGGAATGGCCAAATAAAGGGAGGATGTGTTAGCTCTATAGGTCAGAAGTGCTCCTCTTTCTACCTTTACCGACTACTTGTAAAAGTAGTTTGCAAAACATCTTACAGTTTGGAAAACTCATGTTAGTGGAGGTTAAACCCTTCTGCATAGACTAAGAGAATGTGAGATCAAAAGAGACTTCTGGGGCACCTGGCTGGCTCAGTTGGTAGAGCATGTGACTCTGGATCTCAGGGTCATGAGTTCGAACCCCACGCTGGGTGTAGAGCTTACTAAAAAAAAAAAAAAAAAGGGAAAGAGAGAGAGATTTCTAAAATCAGATGCCCAGATTTGCTGCCCAAGTACTGTAACTGAGAAGCTCACTTATTTCTTAAGGTTGCAAAGCAATGGTATGTTTCTAGGAAAACAAGTTGTTGAAAGGTGAAAATTCGACCCTAGACTCAAATAAGGGGCCACTACAACGCATTTCAAAGTTTCCTATGTGCCCCACTGAGCTACAAAGCCAAAGGTTAGATCAGTTCTTTTGTGTGAGGCTTCCACAAGCAAACTTTATCTTATAAACATGAAATTGTTTCCACGTCGATGGATTACTTTTATATGTGAAACCCATTCATTATACAAGGTAGAGTTTGCTTTGAAGGGCAGGAAAAAGTTAGCAAGGGAAATTTATGTAAATAACTATTTGATCATTAAAATTTTTCCTGAAGAGAAACAATTCTGTACAATATGTGCACACAGACATGGTTTCAGGAGCCCTCGGGCTCCTAAGAGCAGCCAGCACATACACTGTGGCCGGCACCAGGCTAGGCACCCCACATGCACTATTCTCATTTAATTCTCACATCTACGAACCTCAGTCCCACCTGACAGATGAGGATACTGAGGTGTAGAGAAGCACCCGATGAAGATCACATGGTCACCAGGCTGCAGAGCCAGGGTCTGAACTCATCTTTCTGTCTGACTCATGCCTTGTGTGTGTCCCACAGTATTAACGCTGACTTCCCCACATGTCTCAGTTGAATGCAAAGATGTTCTTAGAACATTAAAAAGTGGGGGGCACCTGGGTGGCTCAGTAGGTTAAGCGTCTGACTTCGCTGCCAATCATAATCATACAGTTTGTGAGTTCGAGCCCTGCATCAGGCTCTGTGTTGACATCTTGGAGCCTGGAGCCTGCTTCCGATTCTGTGTCTCCCTTTCTCTCTGCCCCTCCCCTGCTCATGCTCTGTCTCCCTCTCTCGCAAGAATAAATAAATATTAAAAAAAAATTTTAAAATGGGCATGTTTTCACATAAAACTCTATGAGAAAACCATGAAAGCTAATCCAGTAAGTCAACAAGAAGTAAATAAGCAAATGAAATGCCAGAGAATCTCAAAGAGAATACAAATGCAATGTTCATAAACAAAAATGGTGCTGGTGTAGAACAATGGATCGTTCTCAAAGCATACCTCTAATTACACAGGAATTCAAGGAGGCTAAGTATTCTTTTTTAAAAAAGCTTTTTAAAAAAAATGTTTATTTATATTTGAGAGAGAGCGAGAGAGAGCGCGCGCATGCACGCATCAGGGGGGAGGGGCAGAGAGAGAGGGAGACACAGAATCGGAAGCAGCCTCCAGGCTCTGAGCTGTCAGCACAGAGCCTGATGCGGGGCTCGAACTCATGGACCATGAGATCATGACCTGGGCCGAAGTTGGATGCTTAACTGACCGAGCTACCCGGGTGCCCCATAGAGGCAAAGTATTCTTAATGTCCAAGGTATTTAATTTCCTCTAATTCAGATGATGAAAAAAAAATCCAAGTAGGTATATGTGGTACAAATGAGCCAGTAATAGGTAAGACGCCAAGTACGGGAGGAGCGGGAGGGGGTCACCAAGAAGGCCTCTGCAGTGACAGGGATGTATGGATCTGTGGCCAGAGCAGGGCCAATGTTAGGATTTGTAAGTAAGACAGCATTTTTGAGTAACCAAACAGTTGCACTGATAGGAGTTACTGATTTACAGAAAACAACGAAGATGGAAAGATCATACGAGATCCTACCATGTGGCTGTGGAAGGTTATATGGGTACATACAGCGACCAAATGAAAAGCAGAAAGAAAGGAACATAAGAAAGGCAAAGAAGTAAAGGGGGTCCTTCCTGGGGCTAACAATCACGACTGCCGTGTTGCACTTACTTGCACTGAGCGTGGTAATACTTTATAAGATTCTGCAGCAGGTCCACACCCTTTTTGGTCTTGATTTCATTAACTTTAATGAGATACTGTGGAAATAAAACAGAATTGTATGTTGACTGTTACAGACAGGGTTTCCCAGTCCTGGGTCTGGGGAGCAGAATACCGATCATGAATCTGCACAAGTTACTGAACCTTGGCTGCCTTCAGACAGGGGGAGTTTCATTTGGGGAATGATGATCAGGCACAGTCACGAGTGTACAAACGACCTGATTAGAGTGTTAATGGTTTACAAACACTCCAGATTAGTTTACTATACAAGCAGAAATCAAACACAGCAAAACATTCTAGAACGTTTGATTATATCCCCCTGGTGCAGCAGATCTCAAACTTAGAGTTCACATGATCAAAACCTGAAAGACAGGTCGTTCTTGGCAGAAAATCAGTAAAATTGCACTCTCTTTACAGAATATGCGGTGAGGTACTGAAACTTTTAGGAAGAGTTTCTGGTACTCAAGAATGAAAGAATAAGAAAAATTAACGTTACAATAACCTGTTATTAATCAAGCAGTTAATGAACACTACTAGCTCTGATTTTTACCAGTATCCAAGACTTTCTGTTGGTATTGTTTGCTTTTTTTTACTTGTTTTATTATAAAGAAGTGCTTACGAGCAGACAGGTTCAAGAAGAAGCTAAAAGGTTGAAGAGGAGGAAAGAAAGTATTTTTTTAAAAAAAGAAACACTTAAAATTGAGAAAATTCTATCCGTTTTAGTATTTTTGGAAAACTGATAAAGGAACTGTTACACGTTAGTGTTAGAATGGCAGGACGCCAGGTCAAGTTGGACCAGCGCTCGCTGGGAACCCAGTTTGAGAACCACTGCTCAAAGTTTAAGGGAACATGCTTTCATTACATTTCTTTCATGAACTCAGACTTTCTTCATGACTACTTTATTTCAGCTTTCATTCCAACTGGACACGTGGTTAAAAAAGACGCATGCTCTTAACCTGGATCAGTAAGACTTCATGTTCACCAGTGTTACTCCTCACCAGATGTTTTTTTCCACACTCACTCACAAGCAACATTAAAGTTCTCACCAAAGAATCCTGTTTTGGCATAAACAGCCCCACAGGACCAAGGCTCAAAATATGAGCCAACAGTGAAATGGCGGATCCCAAAAGGCTTGGAGAAAAACGGAGATGAGAACCCTTAAGAAACAGTCCCCTCCTCTAATAACCAAACAGCCTGCATTTAAGCAGAAAAACTGCTGAGTAGCAGGAAAGATCACAGTTAACCAAACGCCAGGCAAATGCTTGCAAAAGCTGTTCTTACTTCGCACATTTGGAGCTGGAAGAGGCGTCTCTCCTTCTCCATTTCTTCTGCGATCTCGGCTCCCGTGATCTCCGTGCGGATCATTCCATGCTGCTTTGCGTGCTCTCTCTTCTCCTTCTCAATTTTTGTACTGTAATTAAAGATGCCATCATTTAAAAACAAAAACAAACATTCCTGTCTTTCCTTTTTGTCTTCCCTTTAACAAGAGTCACTGATTGTTTCTTACTAAAGGTTAAGCAGCAGGAACTCTTAAGTCGGTAACGTTGATGGAAAGTAACATTCAAAGAGAACACACATCGTATAAATTTTCACCTAGGAAACCTTGCCTTTTAAGTCTGATCTTACACATGGATGAATTCTTATACATTCTCTCACATTTTGGTCTGCATGAAAAAATTCTGACAGTTGATTTTTTTCTCGGGTAAAGTACTTTACTCATCGATGAAAAAGTATCAGAAAGTTGGAGACCTCAGGTGTATCCTGATTGCCAACAGATTAAGAGTCTGAGAATTATTTCAGGACAATCAAAGCGCATAGTGGGCATGCACAAAAAGTAGTCAAAGGTAATTTCCAATATTCTTCTAAACCTGGGCCATTTCCATATCCCCATAACACACTTTAATCATTCCATCATCTGGCAGTGGCCTGTACAAAATAAGGATGGGAGAGATCCTAATCTACAATTTGGAATCCCTCTCTGGCCTTTGTTGCTTCCAGATTGCCATCATATACATCACTAGACACGGGGCTCAGGGAACTGAATGGTACCAGAAGACACAGTTCTGGATATTGACATTTAGAAGACTCCTGAAAAAAAAAGCTGTCTTGACATCCTAACACCTAAAACCCAAGGAGGCAGCTCACTGCATTCTTGACAAGCCCTGTTGATGTACAGGAGCCTTCTATCAACTTTGGGTGCTTTACTCTGAAATATGAATGGGTGGTGAAAGATGATAAGGTAACTGAGGAAAGGCTCCAAAATGAAAGCAGGGGTTCAAAATAACAAGTCAGGGAGTGGGTAGGTGGTGGTGAGAGAACCAGGGGCAGTAAGAGAGAAACTACTTTATCAAATATAATCAAATCCTCAGAAAGGTAAAATAGTGTATCTATGAAACAAGAAGAAGAAACTATACAAAGGCCACCAAAAACTCCCAATGAACTGAGAAAAAGGGCTTTGGAAATTTAAAATATGATAGCCAAATTAAGAAAGTCAACTGAGGGGTGCCTGGATGGCTCAGCTGGCTAAGTGTCAGACTTGGGCTCAGGTCATGATCTCATAGTTTGTGAGTTCGAGCCCCGCATCTGCGGTCAGTGCAGAGCCCACTTTGGGTCAGAGCCTGCTTTGGATCCTCTGTCTCTCTTTCTGCCCCATCACCTGCTCTCTCTCTCTCTCTCAAAAATAAATAAAACATTAAAAAAAAAAAGATGACTGTGGGATGCCTGGGTGGCATCCGACTTCAGCTCAGGTCATGATCTCACGGTCCATGAGTTCAAGCCCCACGTCGGGCTCTGTGCTGACAGCTCAGAGCCTGGAGCCTGCCTCGGATTCTGTGTCTCCGCCTCTCTGCCCCTCCCCCACTCATGCTCTTTAAAAACTTTAAAAACTTGAAAAAAAATGCTTAAAAAAGTCGACTGAAACAGTGAGAATAAAAGGTTGAAAATAATCTAAACCAGAACATAGACAAATAGAACAGAAAAGAGAGAAAAATTATAAGAACAACCTAGAGAATCCAACATTATATGGCAAAGCCTTTTAGGAGAATAAACAGAAAAGAAACCAGATGGGAGGAATGATAAGGAACATTTTAGGAACTACAGAGCTAAAAACTGCAAAGAGAAGGTCAATGAAGAAACTTCGTAGAACATTAAAAAAAAAAAAAAAAAAGACTTTCACATTTTCTAACTGGAAATAAATGAACCCCTTCCCCAAACCCCACACAAAGAAATGGGAGCAAATATGATTATAAAATGAGAGGATTTATATTCAGCCCAACTCTCATTCTGTGTGATGCAGAATGAAGATATTTCTGGACATGGAAAAATCTGAAAATTTTCCCTCCTTGAGAGCCGTTCCCTGGAAACGAGTGGAAGTGGTGTGCCAGCCAAATATGGGCCCATGCCAGGAAGGAGGAAGGAGGAGAGCTACCATGAAGGGGCAGCCCAGGAGGACAGCTGTGCTGCTGAGCAAAAGGGCTCTGGAGGGAATCTCCAGGACAGAACAGACGGGACTGCCAGAGAACCTAACGATAACAGATCTATAATCGTTGCTACAACATACATAGTGTATGTTCTAAACAGAAACACTATTATTTTGTTTTAAACAGAAACATTCATAGGTGTTGGACATCAGTTCTAACAGATAACAAAAGATCACAAACGTTTCCAGCAGTAGGAGGCAAATGAAATGAGGCAATTATTTCACTAAGGAAAAGCAGAAAATGGTACGATGAGAATGGAAAGTCCATTATAACACCATTTGATGGGCACTGAATATTTACAGAAGTTGTTCACACTGACAACTGGTTTATCCATAAACTGTTGTATTAACCACACTGGATGAACAGGGATGGGGGTGGGAAAGCCACGGGGGGTGGTTGTGCGAGGGAGCTGAGCCCTCATCTGCTGTGGCTGCACAGCAGGTGCACCAGGAGGAAACAGCAAGAGAACACAGAGGAACAGAGACAAACCAGCCAGGGAACAGGAGAGGGACTCAGAGGACAGGAGGGGTGGGGCTGAGGACCGCTGTGTCTTTCCACGAAAGCACGTCCGTTGATTATGTAAGATCCCCTCCTCCCATTCCTCGTTAGGAAAAGAATCCTCATTATCAGGTGCAGCACAGACTTGGGAAGGCAGCACGGACATTCTTACAGTGCTGTGACACAGAAATGCTGTGAATGGTGCCTGGTCTGCCCTAGACGCTTTACTCGGATAGACTCTTGTCGAAGCCATTATTATTGGAGTTTCTATTCTATGCAGAGTCCGTCTTAACCGTTGCAAGCACTATTTAATGCTTTCTTTTATGTATGGGTGTTATTTTGACCAAGTATTATTTGATGGTTTAAAAAACTTGCTAGAAACAACTGACTGGCCAACTGTATGTCTGTCAACAGGCAATTACTTCAACATATTATGTTATCTTGTCTTCACAGAAGCCTTGAGAAGTGGTTAACGCTTCTATGGCTTTACAGGTGAGGATCATGAAAGTTAAGTATCTTGGCTCAAAGTCACAAAGCTGGTAAGGGGCACCACTGAGATTCTCCCATGGTCTCTGACTCCCCAGTGTGTGGTCTAAACTATTATGCCTCACTGCCTCCCGGGTTCTAAATGGAAGACCACAGCCCAGCCTCCTGGTTATCAAAGCTAATAAATTAACTTCTTTTTTTTTTGTATGTTGTTTTGTTTTCTATAATTCATAATCAAATGAGCCCTATCACATCAAATAATCAAACATTTGGGGTTTTTTTTCTTCTTATACCACTACACATGGTGAGGAAGAAACATATCTTAGGAAAATCATTTGTTGATAGAGGTTTATTTTACTTATTTATTTTTATTAATTTATTTCTTAATGTTTATTTATTTTTGAGAGGGAGAGAGAGACAGAGTGTGAGTCAGGGGAGGGGCAGCGAGAGAGGGAGACACAGAATCCGAAGCAGGCTCCAGGCTCCAAGCTGTCAGCACAGAGCCCGATGCGGGGCTCGAACTTGTAAACTGCGAGATCACGACCTGAGCCGATGTCGGACGCTCAACCAACTGAGCCACCCAGGTGCCCTGACAGAGGTTTATTAAAAAAGAAAAATAAAACAACAATCTTTTGGTGAAATCCTAAAATCAGGACCCATTTAAATGATGAATCCTGACACACATTTCCAGATCTGGATAATTCTTTCATTCCTGCAGCAACTATTCCCTATGCACGAGCTATGTGCCCAAGGTACTGCTAGGGGTAGGCACTGGGAGATTAACACCAAACGCGAGGACGGTATGGTCACTGCACTCACCGGGGTCAGATGCCAGAGGACAATACAGACTAGTGAGCAACCAGACAAGTCTGAATACAGTTGAGCAAAGCGCCATGAAGGGCACCTAGATCTTCCTAGAATGGTTTCTGCTCCAGGACATTCATAATACTGACCACCAGGTCTTGTGCCAACTGTATTTTTATAAAATACCAAAAATACAGTTCCACTACCCAACACTGGTAGTATTTCAGCTGACAAAGCACATACTGTACCTTGTTTTATTTCCATGTCCTACAAAAGAGATCTATTCCACAAGTGTAGAGCAAAGGTGTTTTGTTTTGTTTTTTTTCTCCCTTCTGTGGACTCCGGCCCCTTTTGTATGTACTTAGTTCTATTCCAAGCCTGGGGCGTGAAGTTGCCTCTGGGCAGGGCAGCACTTAGCGCACAAGAGTGAGCACTGATGATCTTTTTTAATACAGAAAGACAGGATGGCCTACACTGTTCACTCCATCACTGACCATTTTAAGAGCCCTTCTGTTCACAGCTGCATTTATAACCATCAATGCGTTAAAGTATTCCTAAGGCAGCAAGTCTCCAACAGTGCGTTTATTACATAAGCATTTGTAGAAGTAGTCTGGCAAAAACCAAATTTAACCCTGAATTTGTTTTTCTTTTGTTGGTGTTTTCATTCTGCTGTTACTGCTGTCTACAGAAATGCTTTTATTCTCTCATGGTGACAGCTATCCAAGTTTGCAGCCAACCTTTTTTATTAAGTGCTTTTAAATATACTTCTCCTCCCACCACACCTCCCGGTAATACAAATGTCTTCGAGTAGCAATAACGAGGGAAGGTGGTCTGACTCGTACGGCAGGAAGGTGAGCCAGGCCCACACCATGCATTTCGTGTGCATTATTTCCACAGTCCCTGCAACAACCTGCCAGGCGGGCCCGCCGTGCCCGTGACGTGTTGCTCAGGCTCAGGGGCCACACAGACCCTGGGGAAGGCAGCATGGCACCGCCCAGCTCCATGACCTCCTGTAATCCCTTCAGTCTCTCCAGGCTTCAGTTCCCCAATCCACAACCAGACGGTGAGGTCACGGTGTGGCGGTCACGCAGGTAGAACACGCCGCACAGGCCCCGGCGGGCAGAAGGAGGTCACAAACGCTAGCTATGAATTTTTATCATTTCCTAATTGCTATGCAGGAATGTAAACAGCCTACAGTTATATGCTAGCTGTAATTAGAGAAAAGTTGCAACGGTCAGATGGACAACTTGATAGTCAGCGTCAGCAGCCACGGGCTCACAAATTTTTGGGAGTTAACAGCACACCTCCGTCCTCCTATGACGAGGAGGAGGAGTCATAAACACCTCCAGTCAGGTCAGCACACCTGGGCTCTTAGCCTCCACAAGGAGGTACTCAACGAGTTTTTGTCCAAAAGAGATCAGGTAAGAGCTCTGTCCTTCTAGTTAACTTTTTCTTTTCTTTTTTTTTTTTAATTTTTTTTTCAACGTTTTTTATTTATTTTTGGGACAGAGAGAGACAGAGCATGAACGGGGGAGGGGCAGAGAGAGAGGGAGACACAGAATCGGAAACAGGCTCCAGGCTCCGAGCCATCAGCCCAGAGCCCGACGCGGGCCTCGAACTCACGGACCGCGAGATCATGACCTGGCTGAAGTCAGACGCTTAACCGACTGCGCCACCCAGGCGCCCCTAGTTAACTTTTTCTTAAGAAATGAACAACTATAAAAAACAAACAAAAAAAAATGACTTACAACTTTGTCTCATAGTCTTTCCAAGCTTTGTCAAACGGCTTCTTGAGATCCTTAGGAAAGAGAAAACGAACTTGAGACTGGATTCACTTTTGCTCAAAGGCAAGTAAACGGTGCAGAAATAACATGGCAGCGAAAATGCTTTCCTATAAAGGATGCGTGAAACCGGACACACTCTCGCGCATGTCACAGCGTGTGTCGTAGACGAGGAGCCTGAGTGAGCGGGAAGGGCGGCCTTTGCTGCAATGCCCGCGGGGTGGCTGGTGGCGCGGCCAAGGCTCAGCACAGACTCCCCGCAGCCCCGTGGGCTCTCACCGATAATCCGGAAAGGGCCTCATCTTATTCCTCAGTCAATAACACTGTGTGAAGCGGCACATCTTTTCCAATGATCATTTTCCAAGTAGTTTTTATGCTAGAAATGTTCAGAGTGCCCTTCAAATGCAAGTAACGCTATGATCTTTAAAGAGGGGGGAAAAATCAATCCTTTCCAGTTAAAGTGAAAATCAAATTTCTGAACACTTACTCCTTTGACTCCCTTTAGGTCTCCTTTCAACAAGGAGTCCAAGGTGAAGATCACATTGTGGCTCAGACCCTGGAGCTGGAAAGTAAAGCAAACACGGAAGACGGTTAAAAAAGGAAGTGCGTGCAGAATAACAAAATCAGCTACTGTGGACTGGACACTTTGCACACACCAGACTCTGCGTAAGGGCTTTCACGCACCATCTTGCTGACCCTGTGCACCGCCCCGAGGTTAGGCGGCAAGACCAGCCCCCCCCACCCCCCACAGCAGGTGGGAGCCACACAACTGGCTTCTATTACTCCTTTTCGTACGCTTCTTTGGTATTTCTCACTATGTGAAATTACCCAGTATGTTTATATGTGCACTCTGTCCCCCACCAGAACGTAAGCTCAGTGAGGGCAGGGACCACGACTGTCCCACTCACTGTGTCCTCTCTGTGCCCTGATCCATTAGAAAGACAAGATACAAGTGCGGGTTTCTTACTGTTCTGAGGCAGTGGCCTGAGTCTCCTTGATTTTAAGTTGGAACAAAAAGGGGTCTACAGAGGAGAGGGAGACGGAGCTGGCACCCAGCTGGAGACAGCGGGGCAGGGAAACCAAGGGAGGGACAGGCAAGCAGGGAAAGAGTGTGCCGAACAAGGACCGGGAACAGTGAATG